GGAGGAGGAGGAGGAGGAGGAGGAGGAGAAGAAGAAGAGGAGGAGGAGGGGGAGGAGGAGGAGGAGGAGGAGGAGGAAGAGGAGACAGACTTGCTGGAAAAAGACTGGATTTGTTAGCCACAAATTTCAGGTAGTCCTCACATAAAGGCAGTTTGTGGGGAAAAAAGTGACTTAAGGCATGACGGTTAGTCATGGGATCAAAACTCAAGACGCTGGGCCGCTGACTCGTATTTATGACCCAGAGGGTCATGCGACCCCCTTTTGCGACCTTCTGATGAGGAAACATTCAGTGGCGGAGAGCCAGATTCACTGAACCAACCCACTTAACAACGGCAGGGATTCCCTGAACGAGCGGGGCAAGGAAGCTTAACATTCACTTTAACTGATGCCTCGGTTAGCACCGTAAATTTGGGGCTCTGTCGCGGTCGTTGAGACGAGGACAAACCAATACCCTAGAGAGCCTCCAACGTCAGGAGCAGTTCACCTTCGAGAATGGAGGCGTTTGCTACCTCTAGGACTTTAGGTCAGGGTCCTCCAACCTTGGGTACTTTAAGACGGGTGGACTTCAACTCCCAGAATCCTCCATTCAACCATAGCTCATTTTTTTTCTACTTCCTAGAGCGGAGCGATCGCAGAGGAAGGGATGACAAGAGAGGAAGCAGGCAGGCAGAGTGGAAGTCCTAGAGAAGCCGGCTGGGGGAATTCTGGGAGTTGGAGTCCACCAGTCTTAAATCAGGGGTCTCCAACCTTGGCCACTTTAAGACTTGTGGACTGGACTTCAACTCCCAGAATCCTCCATTCAACCGTAGCTCTTTTTTCCCCCTACTTCCTAGAGCGGAGCGATTGCAGAGGAAGGGATGACAAGAGAGGAAGCAGGCAGAGAGAGTTGGAGTCCACAAATCTTAAAAGTTCAAGGTTGGAGAATTCTGCTCTAGAGGGAGATTTCTGGAGAAATAATTTGTCTAACGTGTGTGTGTGTGTGTTAGGGAAGCCATGATGGTTTGCCACACATCCTGGCTTAGCGGCCAAGCCATGAATTGCCACCCTCCAGTGACGCCACCCGCCAGCAGGGTTCCTCCCACGTCCTCTCGTGTCTTCTTCCTCCCCATACCTGATCGGGGGGGGGGGGAAGGTGCGTACCTGCGGACTCGTTTCCCCGCCTCGCTGACCAACAACCCAGCATTACCAAAGGGGTTCTTGACGGCTTGTTGCAAACCCCGAAGCTGGTTCCCGGCGTTCTGGACCGGAAGAGAAAAGCAGGCAGACAGGATTAAACCTGGATTTTCTTGCTCAAAACCCTTCCGGGTCAGGGTGGGTCAGACCTATCCCCACCCCCTGGCTTAAGGCAGGTCCTGCGAATCTCACCTGTCCCTAAAAGTCACCCACCTGGAACCCGTAGAGAGCAATGAAAAGCCGCAAGATGTCGTTGGTGCCCTCGAAGATTCGGAAGATGCGCAAATCTCGCATCACTTGTTCCACGCCGCTTTCCTGCCGCGGGGGAAATCAAGATGGGGAGGAAGAGGAAGAGGGGAAGGAGGAGTAAGAGAAGAAGAAGAGAAAGAAGAAAGGGAAGGAGAAAGAGAAGAAAGAGAAGGAGAGAGAGGAGAAAGGAAAAAGAGAAAGAAAGAAGAAGGGGAAAGGAAGAGGAGAAAAAAAGAAAAAGAGAAGGAGAAAGAGAAGAAGGGGAAAGGAAGAGGAGAAAAAGAAAGAAAAAGAGAGGGAAAAAGAACAAGAAGGAGAAAGGAGAAAAAAAGGAGAGAAAAGGTAAAAGGGAAAGGGGGAAAAGGAGAAAAAAGGAGAAAGGGAAAAGAGAAAGAAGAAAGCAAAGGAGAAACAGAAAGAGAAGAAAGAAGAGAAGGAGAGAGAGGAGAAAGGAGAAAGAGTGAGAAAGAGAAGGAGAAAGGAAGAGGAGAAAAAGAAAAAGGAGAAAGGAGAGAAAGGGAAAAGAGAAAGGAGAAAGGGAAGGAGAAACAGAAAGAAGAGAAGGAGAGAGAGAAAGAGAAAGAGTGAGAAAGAGAAGAAGGGGAAAGGGAGAAAAAGAAAGAAAAAGAGAAAGGAGAAAGAGGGGAAAAAGAATAAGGAGAAAGGAGAAAGAAAAAGAGGAGAAAGAAAAGGTAGAGAAAGAGGAAAAGGAGAAAAAAGAGAAGAGGAAAAGAGAAAGAAGAAAGCAAAGGAGAAACAGAAAGAGAAGAAAG